GCCGTTTCCGTGGTTGCGTTATTGCCATGTTGAGAGCTTGACTTTCTACCCGGTTGTGCTCTCCTGTTTGGCAGGTGTCCAGAAGCGTGCAGCTCGAGCGGAGCTGCGCACGTTCCTGCCGGTGCTCTCCACTGCGCCCAAGGAAGAGCAGCCCTTTCACGCAGGCTTGAAGGCCATTTTTCAGACCAGCGACTGGCAAACCAGCTACCCCAACCTAGTCCGTCTGTGGGCTGCCGTCGCTGTACTGCCGCTCAGCACAGTCGAGTGCGAGCGCGGGTTTTCCCGCCAGAATGTGATAAAGTCGTGGCGCCGGACGAGTCTCTGCAACGCCAAGCTGGGAGATTTGATGGCGATGTCGCTGCTCGACTACGACATGGACTGGGACAAGGTGGTGGACATCTGGCGGAGTACCAGGAACAGGCGCCCCAGCAAGCGCAAGGAGCAAGCTGCGCCAGAGAAGGAGCGGGCCAAGGCCAAGTTTGTTAAGGGGAGTGGCCGCCGGCTGGTGCAGGTGGAGGAGGAGCTAGATGAGGGCATGAGTGGTTCTGCAGGCGATGACAGTGAGAGTGATGATGATGGCAGCAGTAGCAGTAGCGTTTCTTCTTCAGATGATGACATGAGCTAGTTCTCTAGTAGTACTAGTTAGGTAGGTTAGGTTAGGTATATTTATTTTGGACTTTTTTACACTGAAGGATCAGTACAGTGGAAAATTTTACCCTGACAGGATCAGTATATTGAAAACCACCAACGCTGATTTGGACACCTGGTTGGCAGGGGCACGCTGATCCATCAGCATACCCTCAAACCAATCTGAGGGCCTGGCCTGTATACAAGCTGGATTGTCGCATGAAAAATCAAAAGATACGGTACTGCCCTGCCGAGGAGAGGTGCTTGTTAGGGCATGTTCCTACGGCCCCTTGTCAGGGCATCTTCTTATCAGCTTCGCATATTTGTTGTACGCACGTTATAGAACGCCTCTTGTCAGGCTTGTACCGTGAACGCGCACGAATGAAATCGATCGCACCATGTCGCTCAACAACGCGGAACCCACTTTGCACGTCCACAGAATCGCGTAAGCGTCAAAGCATGAGTCTCGCCCGTCACTTTAACCTGCGCACGACTGTGACGTGGCGAATGTGCAACGGGAAGCTTACGTGCTCATTTTTCACGATTCCCAACATTTATCTCAATTCCCGGCACACAGCCATCCAGTGCACTAGCACGTTCGACACGTTCCACAAACCACAGCAAACAAGGAACCAACAACAACATCGAAGTGCATAGATCTGTCAAAGCATACAAAACCGTGACATAGATTAGGGACATTTTCATCAATCTTCAGCAGCTAGCCATGGCACGCAAACGCAAAGGATCAGTTCGCCCAACAGACGACGAAGGTTGGAGTGTGGAGGACATAGCCTATGTCAAATGGATGAATGCCGAAATCGCGGCCGGAAAACCAACCGCCCGTCCATTACGTAGCGTGGGAGCCGCGAGCTCAACCCCGAAGCAAGCGACAGTCTTGCCCCGTGAATACGACACGGACGACGAATACATTGAGAAGGATTCGGACGATGAGGACGATGCTGCCGGCTCCGATCACGACGATGCCGTTGCCGCCTGGCACGGCATCGCTGAATACAACGGCCCTGATCAGGACGATGCAACAGCTGCTCAAGCCGATCACGATCAATCTGCGGCTGCCTCGCGCTCTGACGGGAAGCGGAAGGGAAAGTTTGCAGTGCGCAACCCTGCTAAGGTGAACAGCAGCCCGGGGCCTGGCGCTCGTATTGAGTGGACGCTGAAGGAGTCGACCATCCTAGTTGCAGCTCGTTGGTTCACGAAGGACGAGCTGCAGCAGATGACTGGGAAGCAAGGCTCCCAATACTGGCTGCGTCTCTGCGAGCACATTAAGCTCCAGCACCCCGATTGGAGCCGCAACGCTACCACGTGCACCAACCAGTGGAAACGGTTGAAGGCCTTGTGGAAGCAGGTGACGAAGGGAGACTCTGCGTCGGGTGGGGCAACTGTCATCAAGCCCCCGTGGTGGGAGTGGATGGTCCTTTTCTATAAGGACACTGCAGCGGCGGACCCGCACGCACTGGATGGTGGCGGTGCTGACGACGTTACCGTCGATCCAGGCCTGAACATCCCTAAGCCCGCGAAAACCGACGCTACGACTACAACATGTGAGTTATTCAGAACGGGGATGCGACTAAGTTGTAGTTCACCGTTTGCTACTGAACCAAAGTACACAATTACCCTCGCGATTTCAAACAAGGCATTTCAAATTGTGTACACTTTTTCCACCCCAATGCCTATGTGCCTGCAGGCCGCGGCACACCCCCGAGCGCAAAACTTCGCATCAACGAGACAGCAACTATGGCGGCTGCTCAACTTTTGGCCGACACTCTCATGCGATGCTCAGAGGAGGGCGTCTCCCAGATCACCGGAGTAATTCGGGAGTGGATGGCAAGCCAGCAGTCTCAAACTAGTCGCCCGCTTCGCTTCTCCCGCGGACGTGCTGGCGGTGACAACGCATGGCCGGACGCAGACAATGCCACGCTCAGCGACGAGGTTGAGGAGTGGCGGTGCTGACGACGTCGTTAAAGGTATGCGTCATGCAGTGCCATTCCGAGCCTTTTACGACGTTCCTTCAGTTCGAACGGCGTGACAATGTCACACGCCTCCCACTTATACTCGGCGAGTTCTCCGCGCGTCCACCACGGGTTCCGGGTGAGTGAAATAGCCGCCCATCTGATGTTTGGGGTCTTCATGCGTGGCCCTGCCATCCCAATGCCCATATTGTGCAGGATAACCACACAACTGGCGCCGGCGAGAACCCGCCAGAGCGCACAATCGTGACGGCCATCGAACAGCCGGTACCGGCCCTTGAACTTGTCAGAATCCCAACCACTAGACCATTGGGATAAAAGGGCTTGTTTCAGTAGCGGGTCAGTGCGCCCATAACCCCCCAGGCGAACGCGCCTGTAACCCTCTCCAGGATCAATCGGGCATCCACAGTACAGATCTACTGACAGAACTGGCCGATCGTGCGCTCCACGGACATGCGGGTTGCAGATTGGCAGTAGTTGAATGTCTGCTGCCACTCGAGCATGAGGCGGCCAGTCGGAGCGTGCAATGGCGTGAGGCAATATTCGCGGAGGGGATAAGCTGCATCGCCGACTAGCTGGTATGGGGCGATGTCACCATTTTCCTGTCGTTTGTAGAGGTTGGATTGTATGAACACCCGCTGGTCATGAGCTGTGCCCGGAAAGCCTATCAAATAATCCCAGATAATTCCTCTAGCGTCGCATGTTACTTGCAGCTGTACGGCATACTGTGATTTGCGCGTATAATACTCCGACCGATGCCCTTCCATTCCCCGGATCTGGACATGGGTGCCATCAATGGCACCAATAACCGCTGGAACACCTTTGATGCTTTTGAATTCCTCCGCCATGACCCGCATCTCGTCTTGCGTTGGAAATCGGACCCAGGCCTTCTTAAAAACGCGCGGGAAATTTTGCAAAAACAAATAAACAAGCCCATGACATAGTGTTTTAGGGACCCGGAACCAGAAAGCAAGATCGATGTACGCCATGGCGCTCGCAAAGTATTTTATTGGGATCAGAATAGCTACTCGGATAGGCAGTGCGTGCCTATGTATGACTGGGTGCAATACATGGTGCATTCCCTCGCATATGTGGTCTAATATGGCCCGGTTTATGCGGAACAGGTCAGTAAACGTCTCGTCCGACATCGATGCCATCTCATCCTCCCACACGTCTAGTCTCCGCCGCCGTAGTTGGCGGTTCCGCGTGCGCAGGTCACTTCGGGACTCTACACATGTCTCTACCTGCTCCGCGGCGTCGATGTGCTCTAGCAGTTGAATGCAGGCCTTCGTGGCACAGTCTAAGAAGGAGCTGAAGTAAAACGCATGCCATACTATTAGCAGGCGTGGGAGGAACGGAACATCGGTCATAGTGCCTCCCCGGTCTAATCTACGCGTGCTAGATTCCTGGAGTTGTTATTTCTTTTGATGGTTTGTGCGTGCTTTTATCTGTGAACGATTGTTGCTTGGTTGAGACTACGTGGGTTGTTGGGTTTGTATTTTGTGCAATGCGTTTTACGCTGATGTGGCAATGTTGCATATTGAACGGATCGCGGTTCTCATGGGATGTCACAATTTGATGCCCACGGTTTCACGGCACTGTGCCACATCATCCAACTTTCAAGTTTGCACACAACTGCAAACCGGCAAATTTATCTGACAAGAGGTTTCTCGCTCCAGCCGAATTACAGGTGAATTTAGCGAGGCTGATAAGAGGCGGCCCTGATAAGGGGCCGTAGGAACATGCCCTTAGTGCCAGTTCTTGTGCCTCTGTATGAAGCAAGTTAGGAGTTGGACTAGTTACGGTATTCCACTCAGCTAAAAGTTCAGTCTCCTTCAACGCAGCCATTGCATGTAGGTGGAAGCAAATAATTCATGCATCAACATCAGGTTCAGGAGTGAGTGTAAGGTATGCAGACGCAGAACTGATAGTAGGTATGATGTGCAGTGCTTACTATTGATCACCGCAGACCTGCCAAGGGAAATCTGCAGTTCGTATTGATCAGCACATGTGTGTTCCATAGTGACTGCTATGTGTAGCAGAGAGGACCACTCCACATCACATCACCATTTACTAACAATGGTGCAACAGTGCAACAAGATATCAATCATGGCAGCGCATGCAGTAACAATGCTGTAGCAGAAACTCCATCCATCCACCATGCCAGGACAAAACACTGCAGAGTATGGCTGTATGATGAACCACCTAAACATCTTCGTGTTACGGTACACATGCTAAGCTACAGTTTTTGAGTCTGAGTATTCCACTAGCAGCTGGAACAGAAGCAGACCCTACCCTACGTTGTGTTGCCTCATAAAGCAAAGGGCGAGATTGCGTTGGTGGGGATTGGGGCAGGATTCAGCAGCAGCAAACCAGTTAATGCTTTCAAGCAGGCTGGATGTCAGAATTACTGTCCAATGTGTAGGAAAAACACGAGGATGAAACGAGTCAACGTGGAAAATAGACACTGATTTGTGCAAAACAGGCATGACCATAGGGAGGCACTTTGATGCCCTACCTTGGAAGTTTTAAAGGCATGCACTGATCCATACTGGTGTATGAATGGTGTGGCATACATGATCGGGTATGGAGGGGAAGTGAGAATCTAGGGGGAAGAAATGACTATGATGATACAATCGACGTTACATTGTATTGGTGTATGAACGGGGTGACATACCTGATCGGGTGCGAGGAGTGCAAATGTAGTAAAGGCAGGCAAGCACAGACAAGACCTGAAGGGATACTTAGGGAGCAACTTCATAGGTAGAGGAACAGAAGGAGAGATAGAGCAGAGTGACTAGAAACACTGCCGGGACTGCAATAGACAGGAGGAGTGCAAATGTAGTAAGCGCAGACAAGACTTGTAGAGGGGTACAGAGGGGAAGAGATCAACCCATAAGAGGAGAGGCAAAAACATGAAAAGAGCAGAGTGACTACTAGAGACTCGGCCCAGGCCGGGAAGGGAAAAGATTTTGATGCATTCGAGACAGGTCCGAATAGGCAGTATAGACCGTAGTAGACATGCACATATATATATATATATATATATATATAAAGAAAAAGAAAAAAAAGAAAGAAAAAAAAGAGACGAAGATGAAACAAGACAGACACAACAATGGCAAGAGATAAAGTGAACATGTATTTCATAGCGTACGGTGCTCTCAACTGGGCTTGACAAGCAATCAACTATCAGGGGGACGTTGTCTGCAGTGGCAATCGATCGCTGATAAGTTGGCAGCATCTGGGGACAGTGCAGGACAGATCACGGCAACGGAAAACAAAATGGCGAATATATTTATATGTTGAATTGCTACAACTCATTATCCTTCTCATCATAGACATACATAGCTGCTAAAGGCGGGTCATACTTTTTTGTTCCGGGTTTGGTTGACGTGGTTGAATGCGGTAAGTTAAGCTTGGGCATAGTTTTGGCTTTCATCGCTTTAGACCATTGCACACCAGGATGGACCATTCAAAACCAAACCGCAACGAGAAATTATGACCCACCCTGTGGGTCATAATTCACAGCACTGTGGATCAAAATTTCCGAGACGTCTCAAAAGTCGTTTGAGACGTCTCAAAAGTAGCCCACCCTGTAGGTCATAATTCACAGCACTGTGGATCAAAATTTCCGAGACGTCTCATAAGTAATTTGAGACGTCCCAAAGGTAGCCCACCCTGTAGGTAATAATTCACATCACTGTGGATCAAAATCGAGCCTGCCTATTGCGTGCAAAGGTTCTTCATTTGGATCAACAAAAAATGCGGTATATAAGTTAGCTCTCAGTAAAGCGATTACTACAGTGGAAGGAGGAAGAATAAGCTCTACTTCATGTCACTTTCCTTATCGTATCCGAAGCTCAATTATTCTTTGTGCTCTGTAATTTCCCCTACCTGCGACAGCGTTACAGAGCCTCCCATGCCAAAGTCAACGAGCTTAGCATTCTCCTCAGTCAAACAGTCCAGAAAGAGCTCCAACACGCTCAGCTGGGCTCAGAATGAAAGGAGGAAAGGCAGTGCCCCTACCTGCAGTGGCGTTGCACAGCCCTCCCATGCCAAACTGAACGAGCCTTGCATTCTCCTCCGTCAAACAGTCGAGAAAGAGCTCCAACACGTTCAGCTGGGCTTCAGAAAGAGGAGGGGGAACAGATGGAACACAGGAGATGGATGCCTCACAGACGTTTCAGATGCAGGGAGAGGAGAGGAGGGTAGAACAGATGGAGAGTTGAAGGTAAGGTGAATGGTTTACGCACAGAATCAATCTGCAAATGCAGGCACCTAGCACTGGAAAGTGAAGGATGGCAAGTGGGGAAAAATACAACTTGCTTCTACATTCAGTTTCGATACAGTTTCATTACAGTCACATACCCTCGATACAGCCACCGATAATCACCTTGTGCAGGTAGCCATAATTGATTGGGTCATAGGCGAAATCGACCAGGTTGCTAATAAGGCGTTTCAGTAGAGTCACGCAGCTTCGATACAGTCACACCCAGAAAGCAACAACCACCCACCTTGCGCAGGTAGCCATAGTTGATCGGGTCATAGGCACATGGCCATATTGCTTATAGAACCTTTCAGTACAGTCACGCAACTTCATCAAAGTCACACCCGCCCAGCTACAATCACCTTCCGCAGTTAGCCATATAGCTGATCGGGTCATAGCGAAATTGGCCAGTTTGATAATAGGACATCCCAATACAGTCATACAGCTTCAAAACAGTTTCGATACAATCACACACAGCTGTTATCACCATGTGAAGGTAGTCATAATTGATCGGTCCATCAGCCGAATTCGCTAGGTTAGGTTTGAGAGTCGACGCCTTAATACAATCACACCCACACAACGTCAACCAATCACCTTGCACAGATAGTCATAGCTGATCGAGTCCTTTCATACGAATTTTGCCAGGTTGCTCACCCACCTTTCAGTACAGTCACACAGCTTCAATATAGCTTCCATACAATCACACCAGCACCACCTCAACCGCTCACCTTGCATAAGCAAATATAGTTCGCTAGGTTAGCGATTCGCTAAAAAATTGGCTGATTGCAAGGACGGCTGGGTTGTCCGGAGCCTGGTGTCTCATTCTTGCCCCCACAAGTCGAGAGGAGAAGGCGAAAGTGGAGTTTTATGGGAAGAAGTCAGAGGTTGAGAGGGAAAGTGCTGGTCACTTTGAGACGCCTTAGGACTCGATAATTATCACCAAATGTGGTGGTGCCACCAGCACTATCCTGAAATGTTCTGACACCACCGGGTTCTTAGAACCTTCCATGTCTTCACCAGGATATCCTGGATCTCCGAGCTCCCCACCAGACTAGTAATCCCGAACGCACACTCGTATTTACGGAGTAGAATGCAATCGAAGCCTACCTGAAGGTACTCGAGACGCGTCGTTCCGCTCCTCCCCTGTCTCTCCGTCAACCGCGCGGCCGTGCTAAACATGGTCCTGCGACTTCGAATCGCGATATGGTTCAAAAACTTTTAATAAACAGCGCCGCGTTCCGCATGACATGGCCTTGCGTGTTAGAAGCGCGATGTACTCTAGAGTCGATCCGATTCTTGAGGGGCCTAAAAAACCTAACACTCGGATCGTCTCTGCTCTCTGTTTCACTCAACCGAGCGCCTCTTGAGCGGCGGCGAACGTCGCTGCGAAAGTCGCAGCGGTGCTCCATGGACTCTTGGTACGCTTTACTGTGTCTAAAGTTACTGCCGTTCCCCGAAGGACACGGCGGGTAAGAGGCATCTGGACGGCACACCTGGAGCTTGACGGTGGAAGTGTTAGGAACCGGCGTATTGAGGAACTCGTTAATACGCGACGACTTGATTAATGTGTTGAATCAAGGTCATTGCTTAAAGTTGAAAACGATGGTGGGCTGGGGGACCACTTCGATGAAGCCATGTCAGAAGCCGTGGAAGTCACGCATTCCGATGGTGATGGCTTCGGTTCAGAATGACTGATTGGCCAATCGGAATCTGGAATGTCGTGGAGCTGACGCGGCTTGCGGTGAAAAGCTCCTAACCGAGGCGTGTTCACGCATTCCCTTCCAAGTGCGCACCGAAATTGTTCATCAAACGACCAGCGTGTCGTCGCCTTTATGTGACTCCCTGAACACGCCCGACATGACTTTCCAATCTGCGCCTTGAAAATTGGAGAGACGATGCTTACAACCAGAACCAGAATGCATGATCGCTAAGCGTCGGTCCTATATTAGTTGAATTGTTAGTGTGTCGCAGGTATTTCCCTATCCCCAAAAAAAGACTCATATTACGGGTAGAACAAACAGTTGTACCTGAAATTGAGCAATTTCACGAAGCTCCCACGAAAGATGAGGACCCGTTCAAGGAGCTGATGGACTCACTCGTTTCAAACTACGGTCGAACTTCCAAGCAGGAACTAGTCCACCAAGCTTCATGCTGGAGCTGACGCGGAGTGGGGACCACAGCAGGAATGGTCACCCTTTTATTCAACCGTTGATCACCACGATCAAAGCCACTACCCCCCAACTCCCGTTGCGATCACCCAGCAGCTTTGATGGGTGACAGAACACATTTAGACCGCTGCTTTCTCGAGCCGCCGCTACCAGCAGCGGATAAGCTGGTGCTGACTTTCCTGTCCTTCAGCCTCAGGCAGTAGAAGCGGCGGCAGAAAGGCTTCGGCTCACCGCCAAGCTCGAAAACCTGGCGGCTGACTAATCCCAAGGTCACATCCCGTCAGTCACCAGAGCACTGCAGTTTTCCTCCCACCTGCTGTGCTGGCTGGCAGAGGCTCAGTCAAAGCAGTTCAGACACTCAACTGAGGCTGAATCCCTTCAAAGGCTCAAAACATCCAGTTCTGGGCCTCTTTCTCGCTGCATTTTCTCTCGTCCGGTTCTAGCACAGAGGGAAACTCGTCCGTACGCAGCGTCAGCCGGATAGTCGGCATCTATGGAGGCCGTCTGATCTGACCGTTAGCCGGTGACGGACCGAGGGGCGAGCCGGTTAGGAATATACTGCTCCGAGCCGTGCGTCTGGTATAGCCTAGCTAGCGGATTCTAGCTCTCTTGGTCGTTAGTCCAGCTCGCTTCGGAGAGAGCATCACGCTTCGCATTGTTCGTCGCGTTCGCGTTGTTCGCCGTCGCGTTTCGCATTCTTCGTCGCGTTTCGCATCTTTCGCCGCGTCTCGCATTCTTCGTCGCGCTGCACCGCGTTGCTCGTCGCTGTTCCAAAGAACGCCTTCACGACCACAGCAGTAGGAGGAGCAGCAGCAGTCCTAACCAATGGCGTCGGACGGAGGCGCGGCGGGGGAGGATCCGCTGTGCGTGGAGCTCCCGGAGCGACTCGCCATCCTGCCGTTCCGCAACCGCGTGCTGCTGCCCGGGGCCATTGTCCGAATCACGTGCTC